GAAGCCCTAGTTTTGAGATACTTACAGGTAAATGTTCAAGTAAGGAAGTAACACTCTCTGAAACATATATTATATTTCCATCTGTCATTATTGCCAGGAAGAAGCCATCTAGCGCCTGTAAAATTAAACACACGGATCCACAAATCAATTTTAGCAGTGGCAATTTTCAAACAGCGTGAGGGATTTCACGAGTGGGTTTTCAAACAGCAAGATTCATGCTGTGTGTCACACGAGCTGAGGCTGTATCCCTCTCCCGTCTTCTAGCGCAGCTGGAAAAGCCGTCGTGACTATCAGCAGAGGCTCTCTGGGAGAGCCAGCTGCCAGCCCCAGCAGGACGTGTGCGACGAGCTGAGAGCAGGAGAGCCCCATCCAGCCACAGATGCTTAGCAAGAATTAAAAGCAAACAGACGGCAATATCAATAAACACTTGAGCTACAATAATTAGTGATGAGGCTGTCATTAGGAGAAATGAATTACAGGGCACTTCCCTGACTCCAACAGGTTTTTGTAATCATCCCCGACAACCAGCTGCAAACTAGACTCTCTTCAAATGCTCCTGACAAGCAGGAAGCACGTGCCATATCAGCGGAGGGGTCCCGGGGTGCCGAGGAGCCCCAGTGCACTCACCTCTAGCATCAGCTGTGTAAACTCTTCATTACTGAGGAACGGGGGCTTCCAGTCTTGTCGGATCTCACTGGACTCCGACTGTGCAGCAATTTCTAACACACACACAGAAGAAACAATGACCTCACACTGAAAGCTTGTACACACACACACAAAGGGTGCAGAGGGGTCGGGCGGGAGAGCCCGTGTACCTTTGTGCTTGCGCAGGAAGTCGATGCTCTTCTGCAGGATGGTGGACTTGTCCATCTTCCGGCTGTTCCCGGGCAGCATGGAGCCCAGCTCTTTGATGAGCACATTGAACTGGTCTCTGCGTTTCTTCTCCGACTTGTTCCTGGACACCCTGTGGTCCACACATTGAGAGTGCTCACTTTCACAGTAACATGACACGGCACACAGCCGTAACACAGCCACCAGGCTCGTCACTTTACAACCGAAATGTGCAAATATCTCTTCCAACTTTCAGAAAGCGCTCAGCATGACACCAAATATCTTACTGCAGTCTGTCTCTTTATTAAGGTTTTGAGTGAAGTTCCAGTAACAAAGTGTCCTTCAAACAGTGCAGCTGCAGGAACCTTACTAGTGCAATGCGCTGAGGCACAAGTATGAGGGGACCAGCGCAAGAGACTCTTATCAGTCCTCGGTACACAACAGAGTGGTCTATGACAAACACAAGGATACACAGACTTACACTTCGCCTACACAGCTTGGACAGCTTTACTCGGAGCTGAAAATGTAAATTCCAGAGACAATACAATCTTCTGGAACATATATACACCATCTTGGACAGAAGGGGCTATTTTTCTGTGGAGTGCAAATCTACCTTTTTGCTTTATCCTTGTCATCCTCTTCCATTAATCCATCAAAAATGCTACTGTCATCCCTGTAAAGAAAACAGCATATGAAGCCACAGATCTGTGATACATAAACCAAAATCAAATATTACATTTCTATATGTAGCCATTTCCAATTAAGAACACTGTTACATACAGAGCTCTTCTCCTGACTGACTGGTCTCTCCGAAGGCTGCTGACGCCCCTCAGATACAAGACCATCCTGCTGGAGAGCGCTGCGCTGGGGGTAGCGCCCCTCTGAACCGGTCAGGGGGGTCCCCCTGTGCTCTCCTTCTCCCCACGTGAGCTGAGGACCCCTCTCTGACTTTCCCTCCCACCTCTGCGAGGACTGCTCCCTATATTGACCATCTCGACACCTTGGCGTATCTGAACGGTCAACTCTTCAGGCCCAGTCTAGGGGAGAACAGGGCCCGACCGCCAAGCACCCCAGCTGTCCGCCAGCTCGGACGACAGTCACCTCGAGCAGGTGCTATACGGCACGCACAGAGCTGAAACCCGCTGGCTTATAATGACTGATGACAACAGAAGTGTTAAACACCCTCTCCAGTGATGTGGTCTCCTCCTTTTTTTAGCTCGAGGGTGGGAACTGTACTACTCCCCTGATAGTGGCTGTCAGACTCAAATCTATTTTTAACCCCTTTTTTAATCCTGTGAATTCTCAGCCCAGTGCGTCACCCCTGGGCACAATCAGTGAGTGAAGTCTGCTTCACGAGAGGGTTTCCTGCACACTCGCCAAGCCCATGCTGGCAGTGGTACCATAAGAGGCGCGTGGGCGTTAAAGACAGTGACTGGAAAAGGCAGGTTAACATCCCCAGTTAGCACTGGAATCAAAGCAGCAGGTTTGTGATTAAAATAAAAAAAAGACTAAGATACTGGGAGAGTGCGCAAAGCTTCAGGAAACATGCTTCCCCAGCAACAAAACCTCTGACTGGTCAGTGAGGATCCCCCACTCTGGGAGCTAAACAGAACAGCGCCAGGGTTTTAAAAGTTTAACTGCAGAAAATCTGAGGCACATTTCAATTTCTCCCTCTCCTAGATCACGTTTTCAGCACATCATCTCCACAGTTTCATGACGCACTGCTTTAATCACTGCCAGCTCTTTAAAGGGGACAAAGCCAATTTTCTTCAATATAAAGGTACTTAAACTCCCCCCAGCACATCATGACACTTTTAGATATTACAAGGATTAATTTCAGAGTCCATGTACGCCTGCAGTGCTTGGGGAAAAAAACACATCACATTGAACAGATATAATGAAACAAACAGAGGCTTAGAAACACATGGGAAAAGAAGGAATGCAAACACTAATTAAAAGCCTAGCTAAACAGACGAGTCAAGGAGCTGACAGGTCTGGGATGGGCAGAGTGAGCTCCAGAACATCTGAAAGCATGCGCCCCAGAAACACCCGCAGGCTCCACTACACTAGCACACGCTTTGCGATTTCTGCTCTGCAGTTTCGATGTGTGCTGTTGGTAGATCGTGTGGCAGCACGTACAGGGCACACAGTAACGAGAGCAGCAGGGGCACAGACACCATCTTTCCATCTGGAAGGACGGGCCTCCTGTCTGCCCACAACGAAGGAGACTTGCAGCATTGGAAATGCCAATCTGTCACAAGAGCCCTCAATCCTCTTGTCTCAAAGGCGAGGCAGATTACGAAACCCCTTGGAGGATCACCACCACGCGCTTCCTGGCCACTCAGCCAAAGCAGTCAAGTGGCACTTAGCGTTCTCTTGGCCTTAATTTCGCAGTGCAGAAATGCTACCGCATAACAGAAACAGAAATCCTACTACATGGCTCAAAGCAATATTGATACAGAATGTGAGAAAACTACAGAAAGATCCTGGAATCTCAGGAGCTCATGGTAAGACTCATGTCATCGCAGAGTCACAAGCGATGATGTCGGAAACCCCTGAGTTAAAGGGGCTAGCTAACTTAATGCCTAGTGCACCTGAATAATTTAGGCTTCAAAACGGTGTTTCCAAGGCTGCTGTCTTACAGTAGGAGCTCAAACAGGCAAAATAAAAAATCCCAGGCGACCTGGCTCTTATCAAAGATGTAAAGGTTCCCAAAAGAAAAACTTTGGCAATTCAACAAGTTCAATCATCCTTGTCGATATCAGTTTCATCGAATGCTTGTCCAAATAACGGTATACAGAGACCGCTGGCAAAATCAGTCAGAAAGCAGAAAATACCAGAGACGTACTCAGAATTCAGGCTCTGCCATATTCTCGTTCTGTGTCGTACTGCACGCTTCCTGAGCTGTTGCCCCTAAAGCCGGAGCAGGAGGCTCTGCCACCCTGCCTTCGACACGCCCCCCCCCCCGGCGAGAGAGCTCACGCGCGATGTTACTGGGCGGGAAAGGAAACCAGCATTAAAAACTCTGGAGACAAGGCGCCCTAGTGATTCACCCTTCTCTAGCTTCTGATGGTGGGGAAAAGAAAAAAAACGGTTACACTTCAGAATAGGAACCACTTACAGGCGTGACGCTGTTAATGAATCAGCTAATTGAGTGCCAGCATGAACATGTGCCTTACTGAATTACGTGTGCTTCATTCTTACTGGAAAGGCATGTATACGAGTCGGGTATCGCTGATGAAGAGGACGCACCGAACCACCCTGCACACAGGAGCTGTCATGATGGGAAAACACTCTTTGCCGACAGGACAGGACACTGCTCAGATGTCTGTGAGCCAGGAGCAAAGCTGTGCGTCGTTTCTCGGGTGCAATTCCCGCCACGCTTTGCCGCAGCTGATATTGACAAGCACAAGGAGAGAGGTGCAGTGAAGCTGGAAGACAGGAGGGGGAACCTACCGGTCTACGCTGGAGGTCATCTTATAGCTTGTTCAGGGTCGCAGTCGCAGGGAATCACACTTTAATCGTGAGGTAGACATTTGTGACTGCACCTGGGGAGACAAAATCGAGAAGAGCACACGCTTGAGGTACCTCCGCAGCGAAGCTGTCGGGGCGCCTGTCTGTGCGCGGCCAGCCAGGTCGAGACCGGACACGGGCGGGAAGCACGAAGAGGGGCACTCTAAAGGTGGAGACACTGACCAATCAGGACAGGGGCGGTCTTGCCCCCCGCAGAGGTCACAAAGGTCAGCAGATAGGCTTCAACACTCCGCTGGACACGAGCAGAACTGGTCTTAGAGACAGAGAAGGAGAGTTTTTTTTCCCCTGCTACAGGGACGAGGAGGCCGGAAGGGACTATGCTGTCGCTGAACCTGCGTCCGGGGGACAAGAGCAATCTGGGTCTCACCTCCAATACAGTGCCGAGCCGCCTGTGACGCGAGGGGGTGGAGCGGCGCCAAAGGCCCGGCCCGAGAGCGCCTCGGGTCCCGTCAGTTCTGGCACAGGTCCCTGGAGGGCGACGGGCAGCTGGGGTCCTCAGGCAGCGGCGCGAGTCGACTCGAGCGGGCGCGCAGACACCGCATGACAACGCGCCACCTGTCCGGGAGAGACGCCTTTCATCAGTGCGCGCCGCTCCGTTTCCCAGAATTCCAAACACCAGGAAGGAAAGTGAACACACTTCCTGCGACTCCACGACACTGAGCCGTCACCACACGTCTGACGAGCGACATGCAGTCATCGCACATACCCAGCTCTTCAATATTACCACTTAACAACACAGAGGAAGGTAATAAAGCACCAGCTACAACAACTGCTTTCCTTCCCAGGAGTAACACTGCCGAACACAGACCATAAAACAGGGCAAACAAATCAATTTGTATCGCATATCAAGAGACAGGGCAAACACCCCCAACATATCACATTGGTCCAAGTCCTCAAAGGGCTGCAGGCGACAAGACAAACAAAACTACCACTGTTACATATCAAAGAACGGGACAAGCACTCAAATTGTGAAACAAACCTCTTTCTGAGCCTACACAAGAGTCAGGAACCCCTTGCAGTGCGTCTGTTCTACAGAGCAGACCCAGTCCGCGTTGCTGTCCTTATTGAGGCTCATTAAAACTGAATCTGCACAAGACTGGGTCCTGCTCCACTGACGAAGAACTTCCCACGACAACATCTGTCAGCTTCCTCACTGCTGTCCTCTGCGTGCTTATGCCTGAACAGCAGCTTTGCCAAGGGCTTGGGTTCGAGCACTCCCAGCTGTGGCAATGCCAAAAAGGTGGAGCTGCAGAGGGGGCAAATGTGCAGATCTCTAAATCATTCAGAGTCAACCTTCAGGCCTTAGAGAGCCTTACTGATTTCTGGTTTTTAACTGTACCAGAGCTTCGTTACTTAATTGTCTTGATTATTGGCTTGATTAGTTTTAATCACCAAAGTTTCCATGTCTTCAGCTATGAAGGAGGCTGAGTTCCACATAAGCCCCTGCAGGGCTGTGTCTCTGCAGGACCTGAGGTTTTGTTCACAGGTGGTCTCCTCCCAGGTTTACAAAGCGAAGAACAATTTTACCAAGAGAGAATAACTGCGCCGAGCCAGGAAAGGGTCTTTAATACTGATTTGTCAATCAAAAATCTGAAATCAAAGTGTAACAAAAAAAAAACAGCAGGCTCAAGAAACTGCAGTAAGTGGGATGTACTTCGTGCTGATACAGTCATGTCTGGATTCTCCTTAGAGTGCCAAGGCTTCTCCCAGCATGCTCTGCGCTGCACAAGGAGAAGCATGTGTCACTGTCACGGAAGTTTTTCACATCAATATTCAATTGTGGAGTTTTCACAGACTCTAGGAGAAAGAGGCAATACAGCTGCAAGACAAATGTAGAAGCCAAAGGCTAGATTGTCTTTCAGAAAAAATAGGTCACCTTCTACAAACCATACAGCACAGCCAGTCAGTTCTGAGATATAGGACTGTCTATTTTCAAGGATATGGGAAAACATACTAAATTGCCTCGACGCAAATGTTTATTTCTGTGAACAATAGATGATAGGGAAATGTCTGGCTATGAAAGCTTCCTTTTAAATGACAGTGTGGTTGTGCATGAGTGCAGGACTGCACGATCGCATTTCATCAGAGAGCCATGACTCAGAACACCTCTGCTCTACTCTTTCGGCTCACACTGTGAGGGGAACACAGCCGAAGACATCTCAGTCTAATCAAGAAGGGCACTGGGTGACTTTAGTTTAACTGTGAATCTAAGGATTTGAAAACTGCATTGGTGTCTCTTGGTGAATCTTCCCTAGCACACAGAAGTTTTTTTTACTTCAATACTAGATGTAATCAAGCTTTTTAAAACATTCAGAGAACAAGTAAAGGTTTATTGCATGCTGAAAAGAGAAGAAAAGAAACGTAACGTTTCGGCTGCTTAGCCTTCTTCGGGTGTGAGGACCTACTTGAACTCCTTTTAAAAAGGTAATATTTTAATTAAGATGTAGGAACAAAGAAGGGGCATGCAGATAGTTTTAAATGATATAGTGAATCCAGAAGAGTTGATCATACTTTAGATGCAATCCATTTGTTCTCGAGTTAGCCAAAACTCTGCAGTTGCAATCCCAGAGTCTGAAGAACGGGGTGCTCTGCAGTTACACAGAGATCGCTGACGGCCCACACACCACGGCGAGTCCTCGTGATGCCACTGGGCGTGGGACTGGTCTGGCACCGCCACCCCGGGGGGGCCAGAGGGGCGCGGGACGTGCCCGGGGGGGCGGAGCGCAGGGAGACGCAGAGCCAGAGCTTCCCCAGTGCACCAGGCACCAGGCGCGACAGGTGCTGGAGCACACAACACCGATCAAAACACAAAACAGAGGGACGCACTAGGAACAGAGGAGCACCGGATGTCCAAAGTTAACTCCTATGACAAACTACAGTCAACGACGAAACCCTGTGGACTAGCCATAATTACAGTTATTACAGTTCAATTGACGACGACAATTTTGGACACAATTAATCTTGGCATACTCCCAGTTTCAAACTGGAATGAGCAAATACATCCCAATCAGTCTGAAGTGGTTTGGAGTGTCATTAATTAATTAATAATTATGATAATATAATTAGAATAATAATAATAAAGCACTTTTTGGATACTCCACTCAAAGTGCTCTACAGGTATTGGGGGATCCCCTCCACCACCATCAACGTGTGGCCCCCACCTGGAGGATGCGCTGGCAGCCACAGTGTCCAGTACACTCCCCGTACACCAGCCAAGAACACCGAACTCTGTGAAACTCTATCCCTTCTGCAAGAAGACTGCTGGAGGTGCTGTACCTCCTGTCAGCCAGATCTGTCTAGCACCACGAGGTAAGCTCATTCGAGCTGGGACTGCAGTGATCCAGAAAATGGATTCTAGCCGTCCTCCAACCCACCGGGCTTCCCGGGGGAAAGGTAACGGCTCACTCACGCTGCCCTTTACTCAGCAGACGATTTACTGTCGCTGCTCTGAATATCTGCAACCTTCTATGATCGGATTGTTACACAGGAACCGTTCTCCCAAGTACCAGAACATGCTGCGAAAAGACAGAAGCATTTTTAAAATACGACTGCTATCAAAAGCTGGAGTTACAATTCCTAGGAGTTTTTCTTGTTTGGAGTATTGCACCATACAATACAGTAGTCGCCCTTCACCTGCTGACTCACAAGGGCTCCCCCACTCGCGGTGTGGCTCCTGTGTCCGTCTGCTCTGACAGCTCGCTCACACGCGAGCAACAGCACGCACTGCAGCTCCAGTCGAGCAAACTCACAGAGCCACAAAAACCAGACTCCAGCGCCAGTACTGGGCCAAGACACTGGCAGAGATAACGCTGAGGCCAGACTCCTTAACCTTTTTCGGAGAGTTCAAGTTTTTTTTTCCCCTAATGAAATACTGGCATAGCTTTAGAAAGCAGCTACAATTTTTGACCTCAAAAGGTAAAAAAAAAATCTGAAAATGCTAAAAATCATCGTGCTTTCATATATGCCAACACACCGAAAAGCAATGCCAGTAAAATACGTTTCTGAACTTACTCCATTTTCAAGAGAAATGTCAACCCCTCTCCTCTGGCTGTCAGCTCGTGGAACAGCTACAATGACTCGCCGGCATCAAGCCAGAACCTGTCCGGCTCTTTACTGTCAGTGCTGCACAATAGAGGAATCACATTTCATGCTGAACAAGATTATAATGTCATCATTGTACTACAGCAAGTACAAAACGTGGATGGTTTAGACCTGGATAAAGAATACAACGATTTGGTATGAGGGTATAGAAAATATCTTCTGTGTTTAAACAAACCATTGATGACAACTTGTTTTCCCCACCCTACACAGGAATACAACCTATTGATAAGAGCACCTTTAATTAACCAGTACTGAAAGCACTGCTTGAGCCCTCTTCGTCTTTGGAAAAAAGCCACATCGTTCTGTCTGTGGTCTTTGTGCTCACCCTTAAATCCACCTGTTTCAAAACCCATTTTACCACAGCTATGGTTGCAGAGATGAAGACTGAAATACAAACCCCTACTGATGACACCTACTCACCATTTCATAAACTGTCTCTGCTTCAACAGGTGGCTGCAGATTTCAGCTTAACTTATTTTCACAACACGGAGAGGAAGTGACCATAAATATGCAGCAATCTGAAAAAAGAGGCTGGAAAATGAGCTGAAGCCCATTTCATTATTACCAATGTTAAACACCACCACCAGAGGTCCTCGGAGCCTGCAAGCCAGGACAGATGGGAGCAAACAGAGCAAATCTACACAGCGAGTCACGAGGAGATGCCCATGAAGTGTGAGTGATTACCAGAGGTCCTGACCCAGGTACTCAGAATCCTCAAAGGCATGAACAGCTTCTTCAGAATCAGCAGGGAAACATGAAGTAAACTACAAGATATTGTGTTTAAAACTGGCAACAGGAGACACTGCTTCACACAGAGGGTTGTAGGAGTCTGGAACAAGCTGACAGATTACACTGTACGGGCCAGTGCCGTCCCAAAGGCAAATTATACTGAGTGCAAAATTATTTTTATTATTGCTACTGCTTTACATGACAAAATCTGATGTTAAGTACACGTCCGACACACATCCATTTTAAAACCGTGAGAAAGCAGTCTCGCATTTTTTAAATACCTTATTTAGAATTAAATCTGTCCTCGCTGATTTGGCAGCTAAATGAACTAACGGCGCTGGGTGAGCTACAGTCCATTTTATTAAGTGGGATCCTCAACCACCTAGTGAGTGCAAAACCAAAGAGCGAAAGTCACATTTCCTTACTCAATGCTGTTCCAGAGGATTTGGAAAAGCAATATTACTGGACAATGTTCACTGCCAGGAGGTGTTACAGACCAAACCCTGCAGCCTCAGACATGTGACGGGGAGTGGGCACAGAAACATCTGCTTACAATGGCTCAAAAGCGCCACTGGTAACGATTTCACGCACAGGGCCTTCAGAGCTTTAAAAAACAGGTGCAGCCGGCGTCTGGAGGTATAAGGACACCTGCGGCAGGTGTGCTGATCCAGCCCTTCGGACGAACAACGGCCTCGTGGAAAGAAAACACTACACACGTAAACACACAGAGAAACGGCTTTATCAAGCGCAGTCGCACATTGTGCAACCCCAGCCATCACACAGGGACGGGCAGGGCAGCGGTATCTTGGACAGCCTGAGCGCCTGAACACAGCGGAGCTTTGCAAGGAAGATGGACGGGGAGCCCAGAGCACCCCCCCCCCAGCACGGGACGGCCCAGCCCCTGGACTGCGGGCTGCCAGGCAGAGGACGTTAGCAGGGGGTCCGATACACACCGTAGCCCCTCTCTCTGCATCTTCAAAACAGGAAACGGAAGGCAAAGGGCTTTAACTGGAAGCTGCACAAATGCGGAGACGACTGCCAATTCACGTGTTCGACTCAGATCCAGCACTCCGGCACGGACAAGCAGGAACGTGTAGAATTTCAGCTGGCGACAGAACTCAAACCCCCCAGGGGAAGGGACTTGAACGTACCACATAAATATCAGTCGCACGCTACCGTCACAGCTGAGGAATTAGTATAACCTCCGCTCACAAGACACTCGGAGCTGCCGAAACAAGGTTTTCATTTTCGCAGCACTGAGCCACACTGCCATGTGAGGAATGAGAGGCTTTCAATTATTTGCACATGCTGTAATTGCCTGGGGGCAGGAGGATAATTGCTCATCTGGAGGCAAACCTGCTTCACTCTGTCAAGTCACTACTGGCTCATTGGGCCCCTAGAAATCTGCTTGCCGTTCCTCCCTTCGGCGCTGAGAGACGTCACCAGATTCCTGCTGCTGCTCAGCACTTCTGTTTCTTGCGCTGTGTTGAATCTGGTACCTCCGGTCAGCCTTGGCTCACGCCTCTCGCAGGTACAGTCTCGAGATTCAAAGCTAATACAGACATACAGAGCCCTTCAATTAACATAATGTAGCGCTTAATTGCCTTATTGATCTCAAGACAATTAATGGCAAAGTTTAGCACAGCAAAGCTAGTGTGTTACAGGCACAACTAAGAGACTGTGCCGAGACAGAAGTTAGGAAACGAGGGAGGCTTATCCCTGAGGGGCTGACAGGCCCCAACTCTGCTCTAAGAGGAGAGCAGCAGGCAGCATAGGCCATGAGAGAGTCCGATGGACAAATTAACGCTGCAGTGATTAATCACGGCCAACAACGAATGCCTCACCAGTCTTCTGAATTCTTTGTTTATACTGTAAGTCATGTTCTAATGTGCACCATATGGATGCAGCCCCAGACAACAGTCCAGGTTAGATCCAAGCACTGAAACTCAAACAGTGCGCAGCAAACTCCTAAGCAGTCAACCTCTTTCTGGTTTTTCCACCTGCTTATCTTCGAAACCCAGATTCTCCACTGGCGGTTGAGGAGTCACCCAAAATGTTTTGTCTTTCAAGTTTCTCCACTAACTGCTGCCAGGTTTCATAAGATCCAAGCCATCTCCCACTGAGATTGTTTTCCATGTGTGGGTGGCTTTTTTTCCCTCTTTTGTTTCTTGCCCTCCTTATCTCGACTCAGTGACTTGGAGTTATCTGCTTCTCCTGCGTGTGACGGCGCTCATTCTATGACCTTTGCATTACAGTAGGAGCGCTCCCTCGCCACAGGAACCCAGGCAGTCTTGACTATGGTAAAGGTGTGCCATCTCTTCCTAAGACAAAACTCAGTTAGGCATCAGGAATAATGTCTGGCCTCACAAACATCTAGTGACGTCTGCTCCGCTGGTGGGTTGGCCTGTTTTGTCAAGTCTTCAGCAACACGAACAGGCTGAGGTCTGGCAAGAAAACGCACCACAGCACTGTCCTGCTTTCTCGAATTTCCCCTCCCCAGGCTGAATCATCTGTTCCTGAAAAAGCACATTCATCACAGTGAATGGTATGACACCTTTCAGCAACAGACGCATGGCTTTCCTGAGTGTTACTGAAACACTTTCACTATTTCAGTGTGTCAGTTGGACACACTATTCCCAGGAACAAAATCCAAATGTTAGCCCGAAACCTACATACATTCATGCTGGAAATTTAAAGAAATCTACTAAGATACACATTACCCTGGTCCAAAATGCATCAGGTCCAGACGGACAATATCTCTTCTCCTGTGGTTTGAACTATCCAGTGCTGTTCTGTGCTTACAGCCATTGGTGATCACACAGCTCCTTGTTTTGCAGATTCACAACGCAATCGGAGAGAAATAGTAAAAACCATCATATTCAGACACTGATGACCGTGCCTTGGAGAACAGGGGTCAGAATGCATGTGCGATCAGGGGGTGTTTGCGATATGAGTGGTGTGTGTGAGCTGTAGGATAGCAATTTGGGAAATGATGCCACAAACAAAGCACACAGGCCTATTTTAATTCTCTTGCGCACACACACACACACAAAAAAAAACGCTGGCCTCCTTCTTATGGGTTACAAGCACATAAACCCAGTTATCTGATCGGCGGCGGCAGTTTGACAGCTGACTTCATTCCAGCAAGGACTTTTACTGCAATTCTAATTTAAAAAAATCAGGACGGGAAAAAAAAAAACCCTTGGAACCATTCTCCTCCCCCTCCTGGAGCCTCCTCGATCTAAAACGGCGCAGAGCGGAAACAGTGAATCAGCACTGCGCTCCCAGGCAGCAGGCAGTGGTTGTATAACGATGAAGTCATCAGATACATTCCCTGTCCCAGTAACCTGATGACCCAATGACCTACTTTTCCCGCAGCTAAACTCTTGCAGCGCTGTTTAACAGGTGTCTTTTTTCCTAGCTATGAAACCCCTTTAAAAAATAAAACACACAGCTAAAAAGCTCATGAAAATAAAGAGCCTGAAAGTCCCTCTCTGTGTGAATATTCGCGATACAGAGTGCCTGTTCCCCGGTTTCCCGAACTGTGACCCCTTTCAGTTTACAGCTTGGATCCCAGCAACAGCCCAGGACCCCTCACACACCGGCCCCGCTCCAGTGCACCGCTGTGGAACTTACAGCAGGCTTGCTCAACCCTTCTGCTGAGGCAGGCCGGTGAATCAAGAACAGCCACAGACCAGGAAAAAATATACGTTGGAACTGTTCCAAGTATGAATAAACGCTTCATAACTTCACAACTACAGATGCGACAGCTTTCAGTGAAGATAAAAACAAGAGTTTCAACCTTCCTGTGCCAACGGTGGTGCTGTTTGGGCTTGGGCAGTCTCCCAGCTCTGCTCTCTCTCACACATACCTGCTGCTACAATCTTTACTTTCAACACAGCAGGAGTCCCAGAATGTCCCAAAACCTCTTCCCTCACAAGCACAACACCACCAAACTTCGACCTTTACAGACGTTGGGACCATGCACAACTCGCACACAATTTTGCACTTAGAAAATGTTAAATATTTAGTCAAACTTTGAGATGCAACAACTGCTGCAAATGTACTATGACATCCACTTGTTTGTTGTTGTCTTTTCAAAACTTCCTTTAGGTTTTGAAGAACAAGCACCTGGAAATCTAGTCTTAAGGAACCTGTTCTGTATGCAAGCTTTCTTTCAACTGATTTTTTTTTCTTTTTCCTTCTTTTGTTGCCGTGGCAACAAAACAGAGCTTTCTTTATATTTTTTTAAAAGGCTGACGTACT